ATATAAATTAAAAAAATATATATATATATTTAATACACCTAACAACAGCATTATGCAGTTTCAAGGATACGCTATGAAAGTACGCTTGTTTCATTGTACTATTATGTCAATTCCAAGCAATAAGCTGTGAAAAAGTAAAACACATGATATTTGAAGCCTTCACGGATTGGGTGTATGAAGTAAACACCCCATGTTTATAATTAGCACCGACAAACAGGATAAAGCTTTGGAGTCATATCAACGAAGTGTTCCCCTTTCAGTGTGTTTTATAAAATATTTATTATAGTATTTTTATAAATACTGCCATCACAATTGTTTTCAAAAACAGTAACACCCACTTGGCAAGTTGTTGTACTTAAAGGCAACCTATTTCTTCGAATTGCTCTGTATAATAAGCAATTGACAATATTTTGTTTCATATAGGCTCGAAATAATATTGATTAACATGGCACTCAATGTGATTACATAATATACCTTCACGCAATGACTTTTTATTAAAGGTAGATTGTATAGCATTGAAAATATAGCTTTGGGACAGGCGGAACTGTTATACAAAAATACGGTTATTTTTCCGGTTTATCGTTCAACAAAAGCTCAATGGAATACGGGGAAAATACTTAATTGTCCCGTACAGCTTTCGGTCACAGTAACGTGACTAAATTGCACTAAATCTCTGATCTGAAAAAAATTCTGAAACTTTAATAATATTTGTTTTCAAATCAACGTTTTCTGACTAGAAATAGTCCCTATATGTCTAATTTAACACAGAATTAAAGAACTGAATATATGTGTACAATGCACCATTTTGGAAAGAATAAAAAAAAGTTCACAAGGATTTCGACAAACAAAAAGTTAATTTCGAGGACTAGATATTTTCGCTATAAATCCCAGTCGTTATTCTGGAATTACTAAGGGTATGAGCTTTTCATTTCTATGAAAAGGTGATATGATTAGTTGGAAGACTGTGTACGGCCCCTCCGGTTGTTGACAGCGACTAAGGAAAATCAGCGCAATAAAGTGGTCTTAAATTTAATAGTAATTCTGGTACCTTATTCACTATCACTCGATTAAGATAATTTTTGGTGCCAAGACTCTGGGTACATTGGACGTTCTAGATGTACGAAAACAAATATCTTATCTCGCTTATAGTTTCGTTTTAATTTCACAGAGAAATGTTTACGTTTGCATATGATTCGTACATGCGACATGCATTTCCTGCTGATGAGCTCAACCCGTTGGCGTGCTGCGGTCGGGGCCCGGATCGGGAACGACGAGACAACATTAATATCAATGATGTCCTTGGAGATTATTCGCTCAGTCTTATTGATTCCCTAAGTACGTTAGCCGTTATGGGAAATCGGTCAGAGTTTCGGCGGGCCGTCGAACTGGTACTCGATAATGTATCGTTTAACAAAGACAGCACCGTTCAGGTGGGCATTCGAAACTGTAGAATCTTTGCTTTGTTCAACAATATTATATTCGATTGAACTGTTGACGCTTGAGGGTAATTAATTTTTCGATCGTAACATAAACCTTACTGTTGATATTTCAGGTTTTTGAAGCCAATATCCGTCTGCTCGGGGCTCTTCTGTCAGCTCATCTTCTAATCAAAGATCCTGCTAAGCCTTTTGGCGATTTGAGGCCTGCGGGGTACAGCAACGAGCTGCTGACGCTTGCCAGAGATCTTGCCAATAGGTGCTTGTAATTGATGTTGACTGAGCGAGCAACATGTGGATATGTACTTAGTTCAATTGCAATTGATTTTGTCGCTCTATTGCCATCTTTGAATGGCTTCGTAGGTACTGCTAGTGACCATCTCGGCAGCATGGCAGACATTAGTTAGCTAATTAAATTAAATTAAATGCCTAGTTTGTTATCGATGATTTTTGATCTTTTTCCTTTGATCTTTGATGGATCGGTAACTAGTTAACGACAACTAGTGCTGGCCGGCATATCTCTAAGCAGAGTTCATTCGAATTAGCGAAATGTAGTAACAAGTTTTTCATCGCACCATCTAATAAAAAAATTACAGACTACTACCGGCGTTCGATGGAACCCCAACCGGTCTCCCATTTCCCCGTGTCAACCTTTTAACAGGTACATGAGCTTTACGGCTTCGCAATTTGCGACATATCCAGAGAAGGTCTTTTCTCGCTATTGCTAAATATTATATGATATTATGCCAAACAGATGAGTCAAGGCTTATTCACACAGTAGAAATCATTTTTTTTAGAAAATTTTTATAAAAATTTTTCAAATGCATTGAAAAGTTACTAACCTTGTTAAAAAATCACTTAGTCTTTTCTAAAAGACCAATTTTCCTTGAAGCTATTTTTTCGCAAGGCCATACTTCACAATCCAATGCTCAGACGGATTCTTTTTGCAAATGAAAAATGTAGGCGAATCATTTCTAAGCTGATTTTTAAACGTTTAGGTCGTGTTCTGAATCATTCACCCTCCATGCTATACCCTGTAGATCTAAACAGGTGAACGCAGCAAGATCTGGGCTATAAGTCTACCACAAAAGATCCTCCCAGAATTTGCATCGAAATTTTCCAAGCCACAAAACCTGCACGAAGTCAGATCGTCATACAACACGCGTACTTGGTATCCCCTGTTGGCTGTGCAGAGTTTTAATTGCGTAGACTTGTTTGATAACTTCACTCGAGTCGCAACTTGCATTCATCGTTTTATCGCCTTCAGGAACCTTCCAATAGAGTAGCGTCTTCTAACAGATCCCTCCCTGTCTGGGAGTTGTTCGAGGCTCGATCATACCTTTCTATGGGGAAAAGGGCCGTAAAACTTCATATTTTACGTCTCCGGTACCGATTCTATTGAAAAAAAAACCCACTTATCCACTTCTAAAATAACCCTTAGTGCTTGCAACTGATTCAAGGCAGTGAGCTAGCCAGTATATAACTATGCAGGACTCTTAGATGATCTAAGCCCAATGTTCACCCATTGATTTCATGCGGCCGCTTGTATCGTAATGTCTGGTGTAAATCGAACTTCAAGAGCTCTCAGACCGTTTCGATAAACACTCTCTCGATACGCTCACTCTTACGCCTTCACACACTAACTTAAGGACAAGCTTTGCTGGCACGCCTGCACATTTATAAGCAGAAAAATACCGAGAAAGTAGTGTTGAATATGCGAACTTCCGTGCCGGGAAAATTGCTATATCCTGACGAATTTAGCCAGGATGCGAACACTGTAATGAGCGCAGAACAGCCCAGCGGATAATGAACGTGCAAAATGTCAAAACAAAATGGTTAAAGACATGCGCAGTTGCATGACATCGTTCGAAAGTTGCCGAAGCTGTATACACCTTCTGACCGATTTAGTATTTTACTAAGTCTTTTTTAGTATAGATGTGAAAAGCTCATAGCCCCAAAAACTGAGTCGAGGGGGTAATTCATATCTCAGTATAAATAAGAAAAAGAATATGGTCTTAATAGCCATTCCAAATGGCAACGATCCACTAGAGCAATAGAAATTTGTGCTATTCACTATTGTGGATATTCTTGTCAGTGTGTCTATATGATCTCCTGTTATTACAGGAGTGCCTCGTAACTGCTCAACGGAAACATGCACTGCCGGAGCAGGAAGCCTTCTACTTGAGTTTGGCGTACTTACACGATTAACAGGCGATTTTGTGTTTGAGAGCGTTGCTCGCCGCGCTATGGAAGCCCTTTGGCTGCGAAGAAACAAAGACACAGGTACGTTGAAAGGCCAGTCGTTCCCCATCACTGTGCAGTAATATGTTGTGTGCCTACTGACTGTTTTAAGCCGGCTGTTGTTGTTGCCGGAGTTGAAAGTTAGCTGTCTAAAGACAGCTTAACGAGAGCTTCACTACTACTACTACTACTAACAAAAACTTTACTACCGCTAGTAATATGATGTGATCCTCTCATAAACTTCTTGTATATTTACGTCGTACAAGAGTCACCTACTTCTTTTCCTCAAGAACTTTTGCCATTTGATTTCAATATAAAAATTAGAGCAAATACTTAAAACCTCCAGTAACTATTAGATGATTCGAGTGCGAGCATGCAGTTATAATAAGTAAAGGTACCATATTTAGAAGCTTAGTATTTACCTAATATACGAAAAGAACCTCCGGTGGGTTAATACTCGTCAGAGCCCGGGATCTTAGTTTTAGGAAAAACTGATTATTGGAGGCGGTTGCAAAAGGCTTTTAGGAAGCATATTATCCGTGTTATTATATAGAAATTCAATGGTCAACGTCAATGTAATAATCCTCGAAACAATAAAATTAGTCGTCTTATAGCGACTCATCTCTAGCCATTATGTAACTTACATGTCGTACACGTTTTTGTTCGCTGTTCGATTTGTTTATCCTTTTAAACTCCGCAGGCCTTCTCGGTAACGTGATTGATGTACGCTCGGGACGATGGCTGGGCACTATGTCTGGGGTCGGCGCTGGTTTGGACTCCTTCTTTGAGTATTTGCTGAAGAGTTATATCCTATTTGGGGAACATGACCATTTCCGAATGTTCAATGAGAGCTATTCAACTATAAAAAGGTATCATATATCCATTAAACTGAAGCAAATGTGCTTGTTTGCGAAGATAAACTTCCTATACCTCACACGATGGGCTAGCATCCTAAGGAAGAACGACTTGCTGCCTTGTAGCAACAGGTCGGAGGAAAGAAATAAGATGTAAAAGGATACGCGTTACATACATGTTATATCGATATTGAAACTAGTGCTGAGTTGCGTCCCGTATTTTGACTTATACGGGAATCAGTATGAACCATTCTCAAATACCTCAATACGTGATAAGATGAGTCTTAGTCTTATTTGAAATAAACCGTAGCCAGGATTCGCATGTAGCTGTTTGACCGGTTGAGATATCTGTAGAAAGCCAGCCACCAAGTTTATTTCTAGGCAGTCATGCTTCTAATGAGCAGATGTCAGCAGCTAGGCTAAAAAAAGACTGTGACCTTGTGACGTCTCTACTGACTAGTTGAAGAACAAAAAACGTTCGATAGCCGGAACTATCCTCCACGATGTAGTAATTTGATTTGCAGTATCCAAGACTGTGAAAATGCTATTTCTAATAGGCAGCTGTTACTGGATAAGCTACCTAGCCCATGGGCACAAGGCCTTTGATCGGTGCATTTAGTGCTTCTATGTATTTGCTCTGAATAAAAAGTTCAATGAAGGTAAGCTTCCATCTAAATTTAAAGCAAAGTATAAGCCAGGTTGTATTGCCACTTCAGTTTGTTCCGGAGAAGCAAGGGGAAGCGAGTTAGCAAATGTGCATCATCAAGGCTTATTTTGATGGAAATGTTCTTGCAGAAATCCGTTTGTATAAATTCAGTATGGACTTTTTTTGTCATCGTGTGATATTTCTACAGGTATATGCGTAAAGGTCGCCCCCACTGTAATGCCGGATCGGGAGAGCATCCGCTTTACGTGAACGTAAACATGGCTTCTGGAAGAACTTCCACACTTTGGATCGATGCGCTGCAGGCGGCCTTTAGTGGTGTGCAGGTCTGCGTTAGCTTGTCGTACTTCTTCTTTTGCTTTTTTTGCTTCTGGTTTTTATTTTATCGCTGTAAGTCGAGTGTCGACAAATTTTTACCTCTGGATTATTGACAATCATCTCTCAAATACAAATGTAGGTATGGCAAGCTTTAGGTGAATAGTCGAAGAAACTCGTCTATAGAAACGACTTCGTGCGTTCGTTTGGTACTCGTCAGGTGAGGGAATAGTTAGTGTTAGAAGGTCTAAGAAGGAATTCGAATGTTAGCAAGATACTGGGTGCCAAAGGCAGGTAGGTTGCGATACTCAACAGCAAGAATCTTTCTTTCCAATATTTGCTACCTTAAATGAGCGTTGCTATACTGTGAACGGATGAGCATGTAGCCATTAATGAATTGCGGACCATAATGAGAACCATTTTGTCCCATTTTGTTCCCATCCCAAAACTATCATCATGGAAATGTATTTCCAAAGCAGCAATTATATTACTGTTTCTGTCATTAGTTATAGTCTATTGACTTTAAATAGCAAATGAAAACGCAAAGTTTCGTTTACAGACATACACTCATACACAGGCATGCGCTTCAATTCCAGAGCTACCAAGTAACTGCATATATTTTTAGGAGATATCTGGCCATATTGACGAAGCGTCACCTTTACATAAATGTCAACTTCTAGTGTAAAAATTGGTGATTCCTTAATACCATTACGAGAACTTGTTGGTTTGTTGAGTTCTCCTCAGTCTCGTAAATGTTGACCTCGAAATTCGAAACGTCATGTGTACTCCATACATGTAGCGAAAGGCTGATGATACAGGATGATAATAAAAAAAAAAAACACGATATTCATTGCTAACTGGCTAAAGCTCATATAATAACGGACGCGCGTTTCTAATGAAATTCGAATCTCTTTCGCTACACGCTTGGGGTGTAGTGAAGTGCAATGTTTACAAGGAATAAAAAATGTTCAGATGTAACTGTAAAATAACCCAAAGTTTCCCTACAAAATATTGAAAAACAAATTTGTAAATTCGAAAGGTGCTGATGGGTGATGTGGAGGAGGCCATCTGTTCCCATGCTTTATACCACGCCATTTGGAGAAAATTTGATGCCCTACCGGAGAGGTGAGCAGTCGAAAATTACTCATTTATATCGTGTCATCACTTTTGACCATGTTTTTGATATGCATACTCTATCGTACACATTATAAGTTACTCGTTTAGACAAATCGAAATTAACAAAAAATCAACAATTTCGTATTGTTTTTTTTTTCCTGAATGGAAACACTGATTACTCCGCTAATAGAAAGCTCTTACAGTTCTACGTCTACTCGCATCAACATGCATCAGAGCGTAAGCAGCATATAAGCGAATCACCCGTACGAATGTAATTGCGATACTTGCAAATATCTCCCCCTTCCGTTTTTCGATTTAGGTCCTTTCCTGTGAACCTCCAGCTAACGTTTTAACGTACGTTCGTATTACTTTGGTTTTTGCAGATTTAACTGGCATTCAATGAACGCCGACGTCCACTTCTATCCGCTTAGACCAGAACTTGCCGAATCCACGTATCTGCTGTACAGAGCTACAAAGAACCCGTTCTACTTGCATGTTGGCCGTGAAATCCTCGTCAGCCTCAACAGTTACTCGCGTGCTCAGTGCGGCTATGCAACAATACATGACGTACATGATAAATCTCTTGAAGACCGAATGGAGAGTTTCTTTCTCAGTGAAACATGCAAATACCTCTATTTGTTGTTCGACAACGACAACCCACTTAACCAACGATTCTCCAGTTACGTCTTCACAACGGAAGGACACGTGTTTCCTATAGTCAAAGAGTTTCGAACGCCGGTTGATGAAACGGTATCGCGTAGTGATCGGGAGCCGCAGTTGCCGCCAGAGGTAGGCGCACTCGCTGCAGATGGCGAACTTCCGCTGACCACGTCGGGTAACAAGTTGACTCTGGTGAACGCATCTGGACCCGGCTGTCTGAGAGTTAATCAGGAACGAATGTTTCTGCTGCCGCTAAAACATGAATACCTCGCCCAGGTCAGCACGTCCCTTGGTCTCGACCTTCAAAACTCGGCAGAAGACCTGCTATGATCGCCTGCGGACGCCAAGAGTAGTTAACCTACGTTAGTTATCATGTTGCCGAGAATGTGACATAAGTAGCTGTTAGATAGGCTTGGAGGTTGTTTGTTAGATTGTTTATTAGACGAGAAGAAAAGTAATGTGACAACTGGTATTTTCTTTATCAATCCCCTGGGGTATACGCGAAGAGGTTCCTGTCCATATAACGTTAGCAAAATACATGTATTTACTGTACTATGCTCAAAGTCTAGCTGGAATCAATCAGACGAAGGCGGTCTCTTCTTCGCACCGTATTGAAACGAAGAATCGATATACATGCAGTATACATATAAATGTACGCAGTGCAGATTTCCGTGATGTCGTTGAACTCGTTACGATATCGACAAATGCACGCAGGTGCAAACCGCGGCCGACATCGACCTGCTTTACTAAAATGTTGCCAAATTTGCCGTCCCGAACATAAGATCCCGGAGTATCGTAACGTAACGTGTAACACTATCAATCGTTTCAATGTGACTGCGAAGCCATATCAAGCATATACAAAACTATTATGTACGGGACCATTGTGCCTTGACTAGTCGTTTGAATGAATTATAAAGTATGATGTTTATTGATGTAACCGCATGCGAAGTTTGTAAGCAAGAGAAAATGACTTCTTCGAAACAATGAAGTGTCAAATATGCGCAGGATGAACATCTATCTCTCTAGAAGGCCTGGCGTCCCGTAACACGGATAATGTATTACCACTTGGGTAAACTGAATGGCCGAATGAAAAGTCAATATTACGAGTACTATTTTAATGAACTGAAACACCCGTCCCGGCATGTTTACAGACTGTATAGATGCTCTTACCTTGATGGAGACAAGTGCGTAACAAGTGACACTCTGCCAAAACAAATAAAAAAAAAAGTTTCATTGACGCTACGCGTGTGCTTGATGATCTGATTGCTTGGACATTCAAAAACAATAAGAGATAAATGACTAATAGCATTTCATTGAACTATTGGCAAAAATTTCTTTGGGTGAACTTCATTCGGAGAAGGAAACTTCCCGATTGTCTACGGTTTAAGCGGTCATGACACGTGGCTTGCATAGGTTTCCAAAAGCTAAATTTGCCCAAGTTTGAACATTTGTCTATTTACGACTTACAGACAGTCCCTTTATTTACTCTCCATGCTATCCAATGACCTTTTGCTAATTAAGACTAGGCCATTTGAAAAAGTTGCTTACGAGCTATCTTGACGGTAAATACACCTCTCTTCTAGTGATGTTCAATAACGGATTGATAAATTATATCTACCATAACTTATCGACTGCTGAGAATACTGATCGACATAAAATTCGAAAAGAAAAACTGACAGTCTAAGGTTCTTTTGTCGGAGTCTTAAATGATCAAAATAAATCACGTCCGGTAAATGTGTACTGTGTCACAGTGACGGCTGGGGCGGTAGTGAGGCTGATATCAGATGCTAGAACATCCGCGCTGAAAATCTTATGGGAAGCTCTAAAGTACCGGGAATATGAGACAGTGGCGAGGGGCGAATTATGGGGGTTGCGTAGCCACAAGGAGAAACGAGCGCACCTCACGGCTTCAATAACAGTGCCCAAAGTGACCCCGGTCCAGGGATGGGTTGGCCAAGAAAAATGTATGTACTCGAATCGAATCAAATGTACACATTGTTCTTGGACTCCGTTGTCAGTATTTTTGTTTGAAACATTTTGAATATTCGAATAAGATCGTGCGTAATATAAAATGTAGTAAAAAAAACATTCTCAAAGCCTGTTTGGAAGATAAGGTTTTTAGCCAAAAAAAACTTTAAAAATCGTTTTTCAGCTAAAAGCAACGACTGTACCAGAAATCTCACGGTACTACTGTCAACTGTATGCGTCAAATGCTTAAAAGATGAAATTGTTTTCCAAAAAAAAAGAACCGTCTGTGCTCGACTTACTGGTGCGCGACACGAAATCGTTTGGATGCTACAAACCCCGATGAATAACCACTGCTACTTATTACACCGCAATAATTTCTCAGTGTCTATATACGAATAGAGCATAATGGAAAATAGACATTCGAAGACTATATAGCACTCTGCTGATTTAATTTTTTAAAGCCTGCATTTATTTCTCTGCGCCATTTCAACCAACTGCTATCCAGAATACGGCCTTGGTCGCTATCAGCTTTACTAAATGCAACACTGAAGATAAGGTCAAGTTTCTGATTTCCTAAACCATCGTCCCTCTCGGACGGCCGCATTGATGCATTTCCACGATACCAGAGTCATCTACAAACTTACCTAAACATTAGCTAAAGCAACTCCTGGCGCACATATATCGATCATTTCTTACTGTGGTGTCTTGGGCGTGCGCACAGACAGGAAGCGACCAAAGCGTCGTCTCTAGTCCTAGGATATTTTTTACTGGTTAGTGTGATTCCAGCTGGTCTATCGCGAGGCTTAAAGCGTCGCTCGCGCCTTCGCACGACCAGGGTTTACGCCTACTGTTAGTGAGGACTGCTAAGCAATATAGCATGGACAAAGCCAGCGAGAGCTCGCGCGGAGTTCTTCTCGCGCTTTTCGTATCGCTTATCCTTTAGCGTGCTCGTAGAATCAACGTTGAGCAGTAGGCATTAGAAAAGCATTCCTGCTATAGGATGAGCGTCTAGTGGCGCTAGTAACTGCCGTAGAAGTTGTCTCCGATGTTCACGGGCGTACAAACATAAGTCGGCTCACTGGCTGCCTGGCGTCGATCTTTGTAGACTCTGTACTTTCCACGCAGCTTCCAATTTTCTCCCTCTCTCTCTTTCATCGTTGTCAGCGGTGACGCCCCGGTTGATGGAGCCAGCCGTTACTTTCCCGTTGGCTCATTTGCTGCTGTGTTGTGTCTCTCGGTCCAATAGACTCGAACGAGTGCCGTTCCACCTCGCCCAACGCCAGACTTAGACAGTGCCCTGAAGCGTTACTGAGCGTTGTCTAAATAGAAGCGCGCTATAATCAAGTTGCTGAACAGCGTGGTGGCAGCGCCGGAAACGACAGAGACGGTGCAAATAGCAAATGGCAATAGCATCAACAGTAGTTGTTGTTGGCTAAAGCTTATTAAAAGGCTAAATACCGTTTCTCTACGATAACGCCACGATGGCTGGCTGTGGCTCTCGGTAAAGTCACTGCCTTCCTATTACTGCTATTTGTCATACGAACCGTGTACGCCACCATAAATCTAATGAGGACCCGTCGTTCCATATATTGTAGTAGTGCGGTATTCCATACATTGCAATAGTGCGATTCTTTTAATTCCAGTTGTTGGCCTGGGATCAGGTCGCTCTGGTAGCAAACAAGGACATATGGTCATGTTTTGGTATTGACAGCGGTGAAGTCTATTCGGATCCCACAATCATGGCTTTGATAATAGGCGCATCGGTGCTCAGATCGTCAGCACAACATCAACGGAAACAACAATAACAACAGAAGCGACAGCTATACCATTAAGGCTAATGAAGCAGCAGAAGCGGCAGCAGTACCGACAAAGAGACCTTACCAGCAAAATGTCAACTCAAATCTTGTATTCAGCGGCACAAATGAATAAAACTTAGTACAACAGTACAGAACAGCGCGGGGAAAGCTTTCTGCTTGATCCTTTCAGCCCTCGTGGCTTGTTTCTTCGATAGATCGAGTTGCGGCTCTCATTCGACTGGCAGAAGAATCAACGGCAGTAGCGGCGGCACCACTTTCCTTTACTTGGAACTACCAACAAGATTCTATTGCAGATTAGTTTACCGTAGACGTGCTGTGTTTTGTCAACATTGTGGCAACAACAAGGAAAGCTGCTAGGCAGTAATCGTAGTGATAGTGGTGATCATTGCGTTTGTTGATCGTCCTGTTGCTGTCTACATTTTGGAAGTTATTGTCTCGTTGCATAGTCAGCGCTTAATTATACACGTAATGTTAAAAATCTAATGACTCTGTCTCTGGCCGTGGATCTTCACTGTGTTTAAACCACGAAAGTTTGTGGGCATCAATAGTTGTGTGAGTGAACGAATCAGGAAATCAATACGAAAGATGACTCGGAATCATAAAGGAAGCATCATGTCAATTGAACCTGGATGCCGCTTTCAGCCTATTCACTCCAGGTGATTACCTAATTACTTGCGAATAATAGTATAATCAAAAAAACAGGTTAAGCTATACAAGTTATGAACGAATATTCCAATAGGTAGTTTGAGATACCTTGTGCATTTTGCCTAGTTTGGTAAACTTTAGACGAAAGTGCTAATTTTATCTTGTGCAAAAACGTACGCATGTCGAAGAAGAACAAAAGAAATGGGATTTACATAGGCTGACTTCAGAACGGCTATAAGCTTACCTGACAGGGTGTCGACTCTTCTCATAAGCGGATCATCATAGCAAATCGAATTGTCGTCCATAAGATAACGCACTCGATCTGAACCGGAAACTGAAGAATTAACGAAAAAAAGGCATCTTCTATTCACCAAAGCGAGCTTGGCTTACTAAAGGTAGAAAGTTTTGTTTCAATCAACCATTCTACTCTATATGAACAGCTGCTGTTGTAATATGGGTGCCCATGGCAGGCTTTATTATTGCGAGTCTTCCGCATATCTCTTCAGTAAGAGTTGAATACTTTTGCTGCACATCCCACTAGGTCTATATCACATAATCTGAAGTTTTCTTTGCTCCACAGAGCGAATCCTCTGCGAGAATTCGTGTAAACTTTATGCTGGGTATGTTGCAACACGTTCGTATCATTACTTGGTTTTTGAGGTATCTGTACCCTATTCGACGTTTACGTGTTGCGCAGAAACAACTTACACTATCTATGAATATTCATAGCCGTACCAAATAGATGTTCTTAGATTCGACGTTTCCAAAGGATCATGTTTATCCCACCCCTATCGCCTCGTTAAGGAAAAAAGTGTATCGGTACCTATCGCTGAGACAGGTTGCAAAATTGTTGTTTGGGCCTGGATCAATTCGGAAATGCGCTTTATCAATCTTCTACATATATTGAACACCTCTGTTATTTTGCGACTAGTGATACCATCAGTTGCGGGGCTGCTCCATGCTATCGATCGAGCAGTGACGGCGATCATATACAGTTTAGGCGTTAAACGGTCGTAAACGAAGTACTGCTCCACTAGCCCAATTCAGTGACAGTTAAATAACCGATAACCGAACCTGTGTTAGTGACAAAAAGGACACAAGCTAGTGTTGGGGTTATTCTGTAGAATTGTTTGATTCCTAGTTGCGCACATGGACCGCAGAAGCTTAAATTCTTACTTAAGTTCAACTTAATATTAGTGTGTATGACGATGGACAGAATACACGAAGACTTTTCGCGTACAAATCAACCCGAGCTTAAAATGTAAACAATTAATCTGCTCACGAATGAGTAAATGATGTCAATTTTGTCATACCAGTGAGGTCCCTGTATTAATTCTGAACCCTTGTGTACTAATGCAGTATTTTTTGATATCCGGCCGAACGTACTCACCTGGACCCACTCAGGACAAACGCTAAGAGTTCACTTCGAATAGACACTCTTTACATTCTACTTCTGCGTTTGACTGCATCGACTATAAAGATGGCAAATGCACAGTCCGGTTCTTGTGTTTATTAAAAGTTAAGGACCATGGCATTCGGACCTGTAAAATGTTCTTCCGACTGCACAAAATTTTGTCCGTTAATCGTTCATCCGTATCGCGTTTAGGCCAGCGTTATGCAAGTAAGTGGGATTACGAGCAAAATAGAAAAAACATTTATTACATCTTTGTCCGCCTGTTGGCACAAGGTCAGTATGTCCTTTCAGCGAACGAAACGTTGAGCGCTAGGCCACGCATTCGTTGAGGTTCAAAATGATTTATTTACGAGTGTTAGGTATTGATAAAGCGAGACCGAGGAAAAATTCTATCCGTTGTGGCTATGGATTATCATGTTATTTGAGTTCCATATATATATATATAAATATTAACCTAATTAAGGATAGATAAAAGAGTCTACATCAGCTTTTCGTCCAACTAGTATCGTATCTATATTATTCTAGTATACTAGACTGTTTAAAGGACAATTCTGTCTTTTATTATAATGCGAAAACACGAAATAAACATCGCTTAATTGCCGATATATTCTTTATTTCCTATGATATCGGATAGTGGCTCCTTCTGAGCTTACTTTTCGAAAAAAATTGACGTCTTTAGCAGCCCGCGGAGGTTGAGCGCGTTAGAAAAGAAAACTAACAAGGTGCATATTTTGTTTTATATATTATATGCAATAGAACAATTTTCTATGAAATTGGATTGCCTAAAGATTTTTGTCTAATATACCTGAACGCACACTCAAAAGGAGATGGGCTTAGCAATTACTCGTAGCTTAGCAACTAAACATAGGTATTTATACGCCTATAATTCCTTTATCTGGCATCTTCGTGCAGAATGTTCACATCACATGGTCGCGTCCTGTACAGCTTTTTGAGCCAGCTCACAGCCGGCATTTGCGTACGTTCTAGTAATGCTGATGAACTTTGAGGACTGCAGTAGAATGACCACTTCTGCTACAAATGCAAACAAACGTCTATTACCAACGAGATTCTTCAATGTAATTATGTATAAGGTCGACTATAAAATTACACGCTAGATAGTGAAACTCTGCCAGCTTACAAAATCAAATTACATTACTAGTCTGCAAAATTTGCGTAACTAACATTAAGATTTGAAAAACTAGACCTATGCGTGTGTTGCATGTTTCGGTCTGGTGACAGTACGTCACCTGTTAATCTTGAAACGTAGAGAGATAACATGCTTTGCCATTATAGCATTTCCGTCTCCTAACTAGGCTTATTGCTCAACTAAATGTTAACAAGTTTTTTTTTGACAATGATGTGCGGAAAACAATAGTCCCAATCGAGCCTCTGGGTTGAAAAGTAAACTTCTGTTACTCGATTTTTTGTCGCAGCTATTTAATGCAGCCAACCACTTTGGCAATATGCTTGATCACGAAAACGATTTACTAAAATTAATACTCCTTCAAGTGGCCAGCAGTGGACCAATGCCGATGAGCAGTACGGCCACTGCGCAAGAAAAACCGCCAAGTCTTTTTTTCATAAATAGAACTTTATGGACATGCATTTGAAACAACTTTGTTTGCCCTAATAGCACAGTGAGCAATGTTAAACAAAGTGATCTGCTACCTCTCTAGCCTATTGTATTCTACAGGGACTGTTAAGCAGCTTTTTATTTTCAAACTTTTCCGCGCGAGAAAGTTATATTCACATTATAATTGGAGCAGCTATATTTTTTTCGCGCCGGCAAATCCTGTCGATTATAATGTGCATGATGATGTTTATTTTTATCCTTCCACGACTCTGCTATAGAATAAGGGAATGGCTGTGTGGTTTATTTATATGTTTTTATAACCGCCGTGAAGAAATCACCGGTTTTTTCATGCTGCGATTCATGCAGTTTAGAGTTTGAAGGAGTCGTGGAAAAAAAATAGGTCCAACTCTGGTGCATCGCGGTCGGGGTGCTTGTTGTGCGTATAATACGGAACACATTAATACGAAAAATGATGTGTTTTTTTCTCAAGATCTGGCACCTTTCGGTCCAGGGTTTACATTCATCGCCACATCCGTGAGCGTGTAGGTTTTAGGCATATCGCGAAGCACTAAAATTCAATGTATGGACCCCGTTTTAGCTGCTTAACGTTACGGTTTAAACATTATCGTTTGCTAGCCCTAGCAGTGCTCCCTATATTGGAAATAAACTTAGATATTTCCAATAACAAAGACCTTAGCGAATGGCCTTACGAGAGTGTCGTTCTACAGACCTCCATCGGTGACCTGGGACTCACAGCAGGGCACAACGTAAACTATAGCAAAGCTGATCATCACCATGAATGCGTATAATCACGAGAACACAAGGCTATAACTTCTGAAGAATATTATTTGTTATTTGACTGGATCTAGAGAGATCCAGAACATAGTCGTTCATACGGCCATCTTTGAAACCTAATTCAAACATGTCTTACCCGTCGAATATCGCATGGGCGGGCTTTTTCGAACTGCGTAGTTCCCTCTATACTAAGTGACGGGTGAGTAGAGGGCTATGAATAGACAACTATGATAGAATTACTTCCACGGTCAAAAAAAACTATGGCGAAAATAATCGATGATTAACGATGCGTATGATTCGTGTAAGTTCAAACGATCAGAGTGAGCTTGTCAGTTTACCAGTATGACTACAGGACATACTTGTGTGGCGTCCCTCGGATACGGCGAGGAGTTGGAAGAGTCGACTCGACGATTGGGAGCATCTGGTTGAACAGTATTGGGATACCGAAAAATTTATTTACTTGTTATGTCTTTTTTCTTGTAATATAGAAGTGAAACAAAGGTCGCCACTCTCAACCGGCCCCCGAGTTGATTTATCAAATCTGCGTTTTGTAACGCAACCTTATTTGAGATCGTATGAGGACCATTCTTTGACACGCTCCCAGCTCAAAGACTAGCAAATCACTATATTTTAGTACGGTTTTCAAGGATTATCGCATTATGCTGCTTTGTTTACTCATTACGACATACTTTGCGTCCAGCTGAAACTTGCCGTTTCATAGAAAAACCACTAGTCGCTTATTTTAGTCCATTGAATAGAGCACACTGAAAAATAAACCTAGGCGAGAGGTTTGTATGCTGATTAGTGCAAATAGAGTGATGAAGTATTTGTAGCTATTGAATTTTTAGTTGTTTTATAAACTTTTTCTTTACGTGTTCCATCGCCTCTCCTCGCATCGTTGCGTAATATCATCCTAACGTGATAAGAATCGTCGTACACAGAAAAGTTTACCAATAATTTCAAAATTTGACTCATAAAGCTTAATAACACGTATTACGATTTGCGGTTACTGGAACGACTGGTAACGATGGCTCCTGAACTGATGACATCGCAATTAAAACTGTCCAAAGGAAATTCGCTCAAACGGGGTACTACTTCAGCTCAAAATCTGTATTGTTAGATGCTGCTGATTGAAAAATGATCCCAATCTATCGTATGGAATTATCTGGCTCTAGTAGTAGCACGAGTGGGTATTCAATAAATCAAACGAGAGGATATCCCGACCTGGT